AAAAAGAGGTTAAAATGTAACTAATTTGCGTTAATTGTAAAGATTTGGAAGCTTTTTTTTAAAAACAGTGAGTAGAGGCAATGGGAGAGAAAGAAATAGAGAGACGCTTTCTCACTTAGACCCCCCACTCCGAGTGTGGGGACAATGGGGGAGAGAGAAACAGAGAGTCGCTTCTTTCTCACTCATTCCCCCCACTCTGACTCTCGGTTCCGCCTCTCTCGTACATTAAACACAGAATAACGCACTTTAGTATTTAATTTATTTAATTTATTAAATTTATTAAATTTATTAAATTTTTGAAATTTATTATGAAATTTATTAAATCTATATGAAATTTATTAAATCTACTATTTTTATAATCTACTGTTAAAAAGTTTATTCACTCAGTTCTGCTAAGAAAATATAGTTTTCTCAACAAAAAAGTAGAATGAAAAATGGCAGACTTAAGTACGCGCAGTTTGTTAACAGAAAGAAAAAGGTTATTTGGAAATTATTCTCAAAAAGGAAAACATATCAATAAATAATAAATTCGAAAAAAGAAACAATTTTAAAAAATTATTTTTTTATAATTGAAAATAAAAATTATGCATGTCGTATATTTTCCCTTCTAACTTTGGAGAAAAAGAAATTATTTTCTATTGTAAAAAATATATTTTGAAAAATACAGGTAACACCATTTTCTTTTTATAATATATTTACAATAATGTAAATGCGGTTAAAAACTTGATTCACTGGTAATAACGTTTAAAATAAAAAATCTGCGAAAATAGTTCTATATGTGTGTGTATATATATATATATTTATATATCTGTAATAATTGACAAGGAAAATTTAACGACTATTGAATATTCTGTTTCAAAAAGAAAAGGTCAAAGATCAAATATTGATCTTGAAATTATAATACTTGACATTAAACGAAAAGAAAAAACTTTCTAATTCTATAATGGAGCGATCAGAAATTAGACAGCCTTGTTTTAAATTTTGATTTATTGCACGCCCCTATCACAAAAAATTTCCAAAAATAACAAAAAAAATACTTTTTTTTGCCGTAAAACAATGAAAAAAAATATATTTCTGATAACTCCATATATATAAAATTTTTAACATTTTAAATTTTTACTAAAAATTACTTTCGGATTAAAGAAAAAAACGAGATTTTTTTAAAATAGTAGAATAGGAAAAAATTCTAAAAAATAAATGTAAAAAAAAAATTATACTGATATTAAATAGGATGTTATTCTATAACTATCTATAATATTGAAAGATGACGGAAATCGGCAAACATTATTAGTTATAACAGTTTGAAATTAGATTATAATAGTGAGCATTCGTTTCAGCGGTACTGTGCATTAAAAAAAAATAATAAAAAAAAAATGAAAACGATAAAATTCAATATATTTGTATAACTAAATCGACGTTAACAACACTTCTCATATCACACCAAGGGGTTTACCTAATGAAAAGGAAAAAAAAAATTTTTTTTTTTTTAAAGTATCGCTCTTTAATGTATATAGTCTTTTTTCCCCCCTTTGGCCTTGCGCTACCAACGCGAGCAAAATGCATCTCGAGTGGCCAACCAGTTAGACGGGATTCAGCTACCGAGGTTTCGTCCCACTCTCTTCGTTTTATATTAAAATGCAACAGAGTGAGAAGGAGAGGAAAAGAGTGAGAGAGAGACATTGGGCGAGGTGCATCCTGTGTGAAAATGTTATAAATTCGCGAACTCACTCTAAATAGCAGTCAGGAGTTAATTTTTTACTCGTAATTCCCAAAATGTTTTATTTTTTGTGAAATATAGAGAAAAAAAAATTATAAATAGTATTTTAAACATGAATTTCTTATTTAAATCAAAATTAATTTTTTCAATTTTATAAATTTTTCCAATCAGATACGTAAATTAGAGAAAAAATTCCATTAGTACTTTTTTCGTTTGCGTATATTTTCAAATATAACTTTTCCGAGATTTTAGGATCGAAATCTTGTATAAGTGGGAAAGAGACAGAGATGGACGTTTATTCCTTCCTGTCTCTCTCTTATATACACGGGCTGTTATTGCGCATGCGTGACACTTTAACCAATCGCGGCGCTCGTTTCTAATTTCCTAGAAAGTGAAACATTTAACCAAATTAACCCCAAACCATTTGGGGTTAAAAAGAAATTTACAAAAATAAAAACAGCAAATTTAAATAAAAAAAAACAAAAGATCCTTCTAGATAAATTAACTAGAAAAAATAGGCAAACGTGAAATAATTATCAAAAAATAAAAAAAGAATAATGAGAAAAAAAATTGAAAAGAACAATATTTTTTTAAAAAAATTTTGAAACAATTAAAAAGAACAATAAGGGAATTACAGTTTCCATTTCTGAATAATTGAATATTGCTTTCCCCCACCCAGTGTATTTAATCCAATAAATTAGAAATCTGTTGCAAAAGATTGAAAATTCGTTAAACATTAAATTCAATACAATTCGAATTAATTCAAGTAGGAATCTATAATTTAAAATTAATTGAAATAGAATTGAAATTAATAGCAAACAAATTTACATGAAACTGAAATTAATTGACAATTGATTTTGGTTAATTAATTTAAATAAAAATTAATTTCAATAGACTTGAAAATAATTTTTATAAAATTAAAATAAATTTTCATAAAATTCAAATAAATTTCATTAAAATTAATCTAAAGAGAATTGGAATTAATTTGTAAATCAACTTTAAAAAATTAAGATTAATGGACAAATTGATTTTAATGCATATGCAATTAATTTTAAGCAAATTTAAATAATATTGACACTAATTAACAATTAGTTTAAATATAATTGAAATTAATTAAAATCTAATCTTCACATTATTGAAATTAAATGGAAATTATTTAATTAGAATAGTTTTTTTTTCATAAATTTAATTGAAAAAATCATGTAAATATAATTGACATAAATTAAACATTAAGTTAATCAGAATTGAAAGTAATTGAAAATTAATTCAAATAATTAAATTAATTCAAAAATATTAATTAAATTAATAAAAAATAATTAAAATCAATTTAAACAGAATTGAAATTAAGTATTAGTATAAATGTAATCATATTATATTTTATAAAACAACAATTTCAATAGAATTGAATTAATTGATAATAAATTTAAATATAATTGAATTAATTATAAATCAATTTAAATAGAATTGAAATTAATTGATAGTAAACTTAAATATAATTGATTTTAATATCGATCAATTTAAATAGAATTGAATTAATTGAAAATTAAATTAAATGAAAATGGAAATGAATTAAATGAATATTAATTTAAACTGAATCGACTATTACTAAATGAAAATTTATAAACATTTGATAATATTTGAATATGGTTTACATAGAATGAAAATTAATTGAAAGTTAATTTAAATAAAATTGCAGTTATTTAAAAATCATTTAAAATATAATTGAAATTCATTAAAAATTGATTTTAATAAAATTGAACATTGAGTAGAATTTGAAAGTTAATTTTTTTAAAAATAGAATTTATTTGAAATAAAAATTGAAATTAATTTGAAAATTGATTAAAATATAATTGAAATTCACTGAAAATTGATTTAAATAAAATTTAAATTTGAATTGAATGGAAATTAATTGAAAGTGAATTTAATTGTAATTGAAATTATTTAGAAATCATTTGAAATAGAATATTGAAATTAATTCGAAAATTGATTTAAATTTCATTGAAATGAATTGAAAATTGATTTAAATAAAATTGAAATTTGAATTGAATGGGAAATTTAATAGAAAGTTAATTTAATTGTAATTGAAATTATTTTTAAATTATTTGAAATAGAATTGAATTTATTTGAAATATAATTTAAAGTTAATTTAATTGTAATTTGAAATTATTTAAAAATCATTTGAATTAAAATTGAAATTAATTCAAAAATTAATTTAAACAGAATTGAAATTCATTGAAAATTGATTTAAATAAAATTGTATGTGAATTTAATTAAAATTGAATTGAATTTAATTAAAATTAAATTGAATTTCATTAAAATTGAATTAAATTTAAATTAATTGAAAGTTAATTTAATTAGAATTGAAATTATTAAAAAAAAGTCATTTGAAATAGAATTGAAATTAATTTGAAAATTAACTTAAATAGAAATAGACGGTAATTCAAAATCAATTCCAGATAGAATTGAAATCTCCTGAGTATAAGAAGAGAAGCGTAAAACCATAAAGTGTATATTGTATATTAGAGAAGAAAGACTTTTAGAGCCAGGATCACATTGTCAAAGCGCTATACTTTGCTTCTTGGCGCATATATATATATATATATGTATAATATATATATATGTATATAGATTATAATACGCGATAAATTTCAATAATAATTTAATATGAGTCGTTTAACGTGACAATAATGACACGATTTTGTTTATTTCTTCATTAATTATATAATTTTAAATGATTTTTTTTTAGTACTGTATCAGAGTATCCATAATTGCAGTATTTTTATATATTTATATATAATAATATACCTTCCTAAAATACGATCAAATCACTGCCACGAGCAGCAATTCCGAGGCACTACGAACAGGCCATAGTAAATATGGCCGCACAATTATCATTTTCTGTCTTCTAAATTAAAAAGACTATATATAGACTGCCTAATAAGTAATTATAATATATAGTTGTATCTCGTTTACTAGTTTTTTTTTTTAATAGATCATTATATATAATATACAATAATTAGAGAGATCACACGTCTTAAATGTAGAAATTTAAAAGACTATCTCTATTTACGTAAAATTTTTTTTTTTTTTAAGTATTGCCACGAAATGTACGGGTGATGATAATAAATTTGATGAGCGGACAGTCAGGGTCCTCCAAATTGAGCTACTCTATCGACTATATATATGCTATTTTCTACCTCTAGAAAAATTTTCTCAGCCTTCTTCCACATTCCCTCCTCATTCGTTTTTTTTTGTTTTTTGTTTTTTTTTTTGCTTATCTATATCAGCACCAATCTGATTTTTTTTTTTAGTAAACCAATCAAAATATCGTCATGTTGATAGACTAATCAGTTGTATAAATATACATTCGAATATTAGTATACAAGAGTCATACGGTTCTTTTTTTTTTTGCTTTCAATTGTAACATCTTCAATCTGTCATAAAATGTGAGCGGGGTCTGGTGGCTTTTTTTCTCTTTTCATTTTGCACTTGGTTTTTTTTTTTTTTTTTTTTTGAGCGCCATCGGTTCTTTACGACCCTCATTCTATATAATACCTTCCCGGTTTCGATTCTACGGACGTTACCGCATATACTCACGCACTCAGTCACATTACTCTTTTTTTCACTTTCATTCTCAGTCGTTCCTTTTTCTCTCGGAGAATTTTTTTTCTTTTTTTTTCATTGTCTCACTTTCTTTATTCCCTCATATTCAAACAAAAACAATTAGATAACGTTTTACATATTTACAGGCGCGTCCTCCTACCTCCGTCGCTTTCTTCATCCTTCTCCATTTAAAAAGATTCATATACTCAACTTGACTTTTCAACTCTTTTTTTAAAACATAGGCAAGTTAAATATTGTATCACAATCATTTCAGTCTGGTCGAAAATCGAACATGTTCAACCCGTTTGGCGAGAGAAACACATTGAAACGGTGTGTTTTTGTGTGTGAGTGTTTTTTTTTAATGTGTATGTGTATGATGGTACATTTTTTTTTATACCTTTTGTAACTCTTCAAGTACGTACTTAGAAAAAAAAACAAAAGGAATTTTCGAATTAGATGAGTAGACTTTTTTTTAAAAAAAACCCAAATCATTTTTGTTTCCAATTAGGAGCATGAAAAAAATGGATGAAAATTGAATATTTTTTTTTTAAACAAATGATTTTACAGATTTTCTGTTTATTTTTGCAAAAATTTTTCCGGAAGTTGACGAATTTTGCCTAAACTAGACAAGATGATGATTTTACAGAAATTGTGGGTAATTTTTAAATTTAACTCAACTCGAGAAGCTTGTCGTAAATAGTTTTTGTCATAATAAACTTGAGAATTGCATGTGAATGAGTGCCAAGAAATGACACTTAAAATAGAAGCGGGAGTCATTCACCCTCACTGAATGTGACAAAAGTGAATCTATAATAACGATTGGAATATGAAATTTGCTCCCAATCAGAAATCTTCTGTTCTTGCTGGACATTATTTGGATTTGAAATTTTTCTTTCAAATAGTTGAGAAATTAGAAAAAAAAGTCATATAACTTTTGGTGATGAGTGAAAATTGTGATTTTGTAATAAAGTGCCCAATTGCTGTAAGAAGAAACATCCAATTACTTTAAGTTATTTTTCAGGTTTGCTTAGTTGTTACTTTTTGCTAAAATTGTTTGAAACATTAAAAAAATTGTCTCAATATTGTGAAAATTGCATGCAACATTAATAATATTGCCTCTGAATTGTGAAACTTGCAAGCATCATAGACAACATTGCTTCAATGTTGTGAAGCTTGCAAGCATCATTGGCAACATTGCCTTAGTATTGTAAAGCTTGCAAGCATCATAGACAACATTGCCTCAATGTTGTGAAGCTTGCATGCAACATTAAAAAGATTGTATCAATATTGTAAAGCTGCATGCAACATTGAAAAGATTGCATGCAACATTAACAACATTGTCTTAATATTGTGAAACTTGCAAGCATCATTGACAACATTGCCATAGTATTCTAAAGCTTGCAAGCATTATTGGCAACATTGCTATAGTGTTCTAAAGCTTACAACCATCATAGACAACATTGCCCTAGTATTGTAAAGTCCGATATGTCATGGAATGCTTCCTCTTTTTGCAAATTCGGCTTTTGATGATTTATCGAAGTTTACTTTGTCGAGTCTACTCACCTATATTCGAGTGGTAAATGACGAATGTTCGAAGATAGGGGAAGAGGGTGGGGGCAATCGTAATTTAATGATTGCCTTACCTTTGTATATCTCGGCACGCAGAGAAAACTAAAAAGTTTTAACAACATTAGTGAAAAAATAACGAAGAAAAGAAGATTTTCTTTAGTAAATGCACGATAAATGTCACGGATAATGTTGCTGGAGCGGCTGGCATCTGAGCGACGGGTCTGACGAAGACGACAACGATCCGGCCTCAACATCGGGGCCGAAGCAACGCTGAAATCTCAGCGGAATTCCTGCTTGCTAGTAGGCGGCAGGATGGACGGTTAGTCACTGTGGCGGCAGCCCCGTTGGAGGTTTAAATTCACCAGAAACGGCGACAACATTGGTCTGCCCGGGAAATTGGGCCGTTGAGACGGGTGGCTGATGATTAAATGACGGTGCATAACACTGAGGGAAATAGAGTTCGGGTTTAACAACAGCCGGCGTTAAACCACGTGACACTGATACAGGACCCAATCCACTTGGAACACCTGATGGTAATTTAGTGTCACCAGTTGAATTCCTCCTAACTTTCGATGCATGAGGATTCATATGATTATCTATATGTTTTTTCACTTCAGGCTCTGTCGCAAATCGTCGTCTACAATTTGGCATTGGACAACAAAATGGACGATCGCCTTGATGTGTTCGCGTATGTTGATCCAATATTGCCTTTTGCCTAAAGTCCTTCCCGCACTGTTGACACTTGTATGGTTTCTCACCGGTATGAATACGTAAATGTTGATTGAGAATGGTTCGTTGCCTGAAATTTCTACCACAGTACACGCAACCGTAAGGCTTTTCATTAGTATGAATACGTAAATGTTGAGTTAAATGTGATTGTTGTCTAAATCTTTTGCCACATTCTGGACATGGATAGGGTCTTGATTCGATGTGTATACAACCATGCTGTAGAAGAGTTGATTTTTGTTTAAATTCCTTTTGACAAATTGGACAGCGAACATATAATGGCATACCCGCTGATCGTCCATGTTGTATTACATCCGGTAAACAACCCTTTCCACCGCTTTGTTGTTTGATATATTGAAGAGCACCAAAACTACCAGCACCACCGGCACCAAAAACAGCATGATTACCACCTTTTGGATCCTTGAAATATGCTGGATATTGTGTTGAATTTGCATCAGGCGCTGGACTAAATGCACCCGATTGCGTATCATTATCGCCAAATGTTGATGCTACTTCCTCCTTGCCTTCTTCTGGTGGAAATGGAACGTCCTGTGGCCATAATGTCGGTGTCATTCCGTTTTTGAAGATAAGATGTGGACTCACGTCTGTAAATAATAAGAAAAAAAGGGAAACATTAAATTACCATTTTGCAATCATTCCCTTAAAATAATTTTTTTTTTAGGGAATTTACAATCAATATTAGTTTGTCATTCAATAATTGTTTTTAGTGGCGTTTTCAATTTTGTCCGGAAAAAAAAGTGCATCAGAAATTAATGTTCGAGAAAATTATCAAAGAAGGCTAAATATTTAGAAAAAAGAATTTTCCTTTTTTTTTATTGCAAATATGAAGGGATATTGTTGGCACGCGTTCAGATAATACTGACTGAAAGAGAAGACAGAAAATTCAGAAAAGAGTTATTATTAGTATTTGTAGAATTAGATAGGAGAAAGAGTCATATTCAGCTTTTCACTGAAAATTTAAATTTAAATTCTACTCATTGGAAATTAATACTCTTGAATATAAAAATCAAGTTTTCGAGATCATAGTTGGAAATAAATGGAATTAACAATGAACTATAGTGTCAAATTAGATTATTTTTGAAAGATTAAAACTGCATTTAAGGAATAGTGAGATTCGATCTTGATAGACAAAATTAATGTAGAACAATGTGAAGGATTTGAAGAAATGAGAAAGTATTCAAAAGGATCAAAAAATGGAGAAGGAGCTCTAACTCACAGCTCACCAGCGCCCTCGCGTCCAGCCCAACCTTCTCACCCTTCGGCTGATTTATTTAACACAGAAAAAACAGATTTTTTAATGATACCAGGATTTCTAGATAATTAGGAATCTAAACTGTAGCTAATTTTGGGTTTTACAGTGGACAATTCAAAAGTATCCAAACAAAAAAAATTACGATTCTAATACTGATAATTGATGACAATTGCAGTTTTGATGAGAGTCTTCTGATACACTGCTAGAAACAATAAACTATAAACTACAAATACTAGACTGTATCTACTTGTAGAAGAAGTATAATTTTCTTGATGGGTAGCATCAAGTTTCGATAGACGATTTAATAATCAAAGAGAAATTTAACATCTAATATTTCACCATATGGCCAACTAGCTGATTGAATTTTTTATCATTTGTGTCAAACTGACGAAGAAAGAATTTCCCGAGTGGAAAAAATAATATGGTCAAAGTTCATCAAACCCTGGGCTAAATCCATTAAATTCGTGTTAAAAACCACAAGACTGGTTTATGATCGTACTTCGGAATAAACATGTTCCATAATTTTTCTACCCATCCGCTAAAGTTTGTCAAATGATCGGCAAAAAAATGGACAATGGTTTTAACTAATCGTAAAGAGTGTACAGATTGGACACTGGACAAAGAATATCACCACTTTTGTCAAATTTTGCGGCGTTTTAATGTCAAATTTTGATAAAGTTGCGGACAGATTGAAATCGTGGACAAAAGAACTACTCGCGTATAGCTGGCAGGCAGAGAGGGAATGACGACAGCGCACGCTGGACGCGCCGCGTCACTTCTCCCACCACTCGCTCTCACTGCGCTTGCTCCAACCGAGGCTTTATATTTCATTCGCACTGTTCTTTTCGTTCAGTTCGCCTTCAGAACTGCCTTGAGGCGCATCTTGAACTGACAGGAATCGAGCGTTAATTAGGGTGGTATTTCTGACTAAGGTTGCTTCTAGGCAACATTGGCGCAATACTACTTTAATATTGTGAAACTTACAAGCATCATTGACAACATTAACCTAATATTGTCAAACTTGCAAGCAACGTTAACAACATTGCCCTAAAATTGTAAAACTTGCAAGCATCGTTAAAAAATTGCCCCAACATTATGATACTTGCAGACCATCATTGACAACATTGCCTTAGCATTATAAAGCTTGCAGGCATTATTGACAACATTGTCTTAGTATTATAAAGCTTACAAGCATCATAGCGTAACTTCAGGTGCAATTTCCAGACTAGAAATATTATCTCAATAAACCGACAGATTAGCTCGATTGGATAAGTACCTCGTTCTGCGGACGTTGTAGGACCAAGGGTACTTGGTTTGCGCCCATTAGCCTGGAATTTTCCTGGCATGTGAGATAATCTGAGCGGGATGTTTGACGTCGAGGTATAATGATGTGCACTGTCGCTTATTGTCCAGTACACACCATTAGAACTCGACTGTCGATAAAACCGGTTGTACTCGGAGAGGATTTCTACAGTTTCCCTCTCCACTGGCGAGAAAACCAATTAGACGGGTGGTTCAGGAAAATGCGAGAACTCCTAATTTTCAAGTCGTTCTGTAGGCGCAAAATTCAGATCAAAGGGATCGGAACCGTAAAGATATTTTAGTTACTAGCTTTTCTCAATTAATTTATCGTTAATAATTTTTTCCTTGATTGATGTCCTAACGTCTTTTTTCGATCTTGTAAAGGACTTTATCAAAGGTTTAGAAAATTTATGGAACTTGTTTATTCAGAAGTGTGGAAATAATCATAAAGTCCCCTTCTATGGTTTCTGTCCGTACTTTAATGGAATCGGTTTTCTGGACTCTATCCCTACTTTCTTTGCCCCTAGAATAACTAGCAAAGAAGTTGAAAAAAATTTGGAAATAACTCCTTGAGAAGAAGAATTACTCAGAAGGAATATTAAGCTAAACTTTTCAAAATACGAACACAAATAAATATTACTGCAAAAACTACGGAAAACTGAAGAGAAGCGTTCCTATCATTAAAACTACAAAAACACATGAGAATTTTCGAGTTTTTTCTGTGTCACGAAATAATTATCGAATTGAAAAAACGAAAATGCAGGTTTTTTTTTCTTGTTTGTTCAAAAATAGAGGAAGAATGGATAACGAAGGATTGAATCTAGGTAAATGTTAGCAAGACACTTGCTGTTAGAGCAGTAGAAGCTGTGGGTGGGTCAGTGTGGTTGTGGTGGACGCCCTCTGGGAGTCTGGGAGGCAGAGAGAAATGCTCGCCTTGGTGTGTGCGGACGTGCTGATTCAGGATCGCCTTCTGACGGAAGTGTTTTCCGCACTCCGGACATTGGTATGGCTTCTCACCCGAGTGGATGCGGAGATGCTGATTGAGGATGGCGCGTTGTCGAAATGTACGCTCGCAATATGCACACGCGTATGGCTTCTCATTAGCGTGTATGCGTAGATGTTGAGTTAGATGGGACTGTTGACGAAATCGTTTTCCACATTCAGGACATCCATACGGCCGACTATCCGTGTGAATTCTTTCGTGTTGCAATAGAGTTGATTTTTGTTTGAAATCCTTGCCACATGTTAAACATTTAAATAGACGTAAATCGCTATTTGCACCCTTGCCAGATTTGCCATTTTGTTGAACAATGTCTGGTAGACCTGTGCCCATATTTGGTGCGCCTGGACTTGCGTATTGATGTGGATCGAGACCGGGCCCACCGTCGCCTTGTCCTAATGATGTGAGCATAACGCCTGGTTGCTTTAGATAATGTAGTGCCGAAAAACCACCGGGTGTTAACATGTGCGGTGGTACGGATGGTGAGGGATGTGGCCTTGTTTCTTTGAAATAATGCTGTGGATATTGTTGCAATTCTCCTGTACCAGGGAAACAATCGGTGCGATCGACTTCGTGTGCCGTTATCTGCTGTTGAGGTGAATGATCCTGAGTTTGTGGTTGCTGCTGCTGAACCTGTTGTTGTTGCTGTTGCTGCTGTTGTTGTTGCTGCTGCTGTTGTACCTGTTGTTGAGCTTGCTGTTGTTGTTGTTGCTGCTGCTGCTGTTGTTGAGATGTTTGCTGACCGGATTGGATATCTTCATCGGATGGCGTGATGGTTTGTGGCTCAGGTGGCGCCGAAGGGTACGGCGAAGGAACAGGCGATGCAAGAGATGGTGGTGGGCCACTCTCACCTTCAACTGGAGGACCACAGGCCTGCTGTGGACTACCAGACGAAGAGGAACCTTGTTGTTGTGGCTGTTGCTGGGGATAAAGACCACTATCTTGGAGAGATCCCGGCCCAGGTCCCCATTGGCCCTGGGGTCTCTCCATATTGTCCTTGTACAACACGTATGGCGCGCCAGTATCTGTAATCAGAAATAAAAATTCCCCTCATTAATTTATCAAATTGATAAATTTCTAAATACAACCAAGAATCATCTGAATATTAAATTGAAATTAAAACATCTACTGAAGGATTAAAATATCAAAATTTTCCCAAGAAAAAAAAACAGTGTAGGTCCCAAATAAATCTCAAAAATCATAGAAAGAAACAAAAGAATGTGTGTTCATAAATAAAAGCAAATAATTTTCCATTGCCTAGAGGATATACAGTAATTGCTTTTAGTTTTGTTTTTCTTTAGCTCGCTTTTTAGCTCCATGATGAAGAACATGCGTACAGTGCTTTCTCTCTAATTAAGACATTGCTATTCCACGAGCTAATCGTAGAGTGAACGATGTACTGTGTAGAGATTCTGTTGAAGCAAAATACACGTTGCTCCCGGTATATGTGCTCTTAATATAACGAACCGTTAATACAACATTTCCATCAGACAGCGTGACGTTTTTTTTTTTTTTTTAATATCATACACGGAAATTTTATTTTTGTTTTCTTTCTAAAAAAAAATCTCTAAGGAGAGATTTAAGATTTATTTGAGACGAAAAGTGCTTTTTAATAAAGATGCCCATTTTTTATTGTTTTTAATTTTTTTTCCCAATCATGTTAATTTTTTTTTTACGTTATTATGAGCTTACCCTGTGAGATGCAGTACATGAATTGTCGAGGCACCTTGAGCCCTGCCGCGAGGCAAGCCGCGAAAGAGGCGGAGAAGTTTATAGCCATCTTTGCAATCGGTCCCCCTCATCCGTGGCTCTTCTTTCCACCACTATCACTAGCTACCCCCGCCCGCCCCAATTGACCTAGCCTGCGGAAAAACATCACACTGTCAACAATCCTTCACCAAAAAAAAGAAAAAAAATTTTACAAAAGAAAGCACAGGATAATACGACCGACCTACTGCCACCAACAGTTTCCCTTCATTGATATTTGGACACTCTCCAGGACAATCGAGAAAATTTTTTTTATTTTTTGCATAAAAAGGGATCTTATCGTCTATTAAATTTCTCAACTGGGCAATAATTTTTTTATAGATTCTGAAATTTTACTTTAGATATTTTTGAATCTTTTTTAAATTTTAAGCAGATTTTAGATTAGTCTGTTTTTGAAATTTTACTGATGACTGCAACAATTTGTTTAGTCAAAGTCAAAGACTAAGTTTAAGATTTAGACTTAGACAAAGTCATAGTCAAGGACTAACACTAAGACTAAGACCTAGACTTAGTCAAAGACTTAGACTTAGTCAAAGACTAACACTAAGACTTAGACTAATTCTTAGACTAAGACCGAGGCTTAGTTAAAGACTAAGACTATGACTTAGTCAAAAACTAACACTAAGACTGAGACTTAGACTTAGTCAAAGACTAACACTAAGACCTAGACTTAGTCAAAGACTTAGACTTGGTCAATGACTTAGACTTAGTCAAAGACTAAGACCTAGACTTTGTCAAAGACTTAGACTTAGTCAAAGACTAACACTAAGACTAAGACCTAGACTTAGTCAAAGACTTAGACTTGGTCAAAGACTAAGACCTAGACTTAGTCAAAGACTTAGACTTAGTCAAAGTCATAGTCAAAGACAAACACTAAGACTAAGACCTAGACTTTGTCAAAGACTTAGACTTAGTCAAAGACTAACACTAAGACTAAGACCTAGACTTAGTCAAAGACGTAGACTTAGTCAAAGACTTAGACTTAGTCAAAGACTAACACTAAGACCTAAACTTAGTCAAAGACTTAGACTTAGTCAAAGACTAAGACCTAGACTTAGTCAAAGACTTAGACTAAGTCAAAGACTAACACTAAGACTTAGTCAAAGTCATAGTCAAAGACTAACACTAAGACTAAGACCTAGACTTAGTCAAAGACTAACACTAAGACCTAAACTTAGTCAAAGACTTAGACTTAGTCAAAGACTAACACTATGACTTAGTCAAAGTCATAGTCAAAGACTAGGACTGAGACCTAGACTTAGTCAAAGTCATAGTCAAAAAATAACACTAAGACTTAGACTTAGTTAAAGTCATAGTCAAAGATTAACACTAAGACTAAGACTTAGTCAAAGTCATAGTCAAAGACTTAGACTTAGACTTAGACTTAGACTTAGACTTTCTTTGACAATTGGTGAGACTACAAAATCAAAATAAATTAATATTGTAGATTTTTGTTGCTACGAAATTGGATATTGTTTTAGAATAAAAACGATATTAGTGAAATTGTGGCAAAAAAAAAGTTAGTTTTGCGAGAACGAAAGGAAAAAAGATTTGTTTATTCCTACACGCTATGAAAGATGTGATGGAATTAAAGAGAAGTTGTCAGGGGTCTGGAGTGTAGGGTGCGAGTATAGAGTATTTGAGACGAGAGGGGATCGTGCGCGCAGATCAGTGACCACTACCTTAAATAGCCCATACGTTTTGAAAAGCCTTCAACTTTGATCATCAATATCTCAAGCTGGATAAGGTTGAACTTTTTGTGGTCAGTTCGATCATCTCCACGATATCTAAAGAGACTGGAGTTCCTTTTATTTTTCTATACACTTTTTTTTTCTTAATTTCTACGTATATATATATATTTTTTTTATCTCTATATTTATAAAATAGAGATATCACGTATTTTTACATAGAGAGTGAGATAGAAGAAAAAAGGGAGAGAAAGAGAGAGAGAGAGAGAGAGAAAAAAAGAAGAAGTGATGTATTCGACCTTGAAAGGGACAGAGAGAAGAACCACCTTGGACTGATCTTTAATCCTTTCATTTAGCTTTATCTTAATTTATTAAGAAGAAGATTGACATATCCAGTTTGAAAGGAAAAAAAACTTTTTAAACGAGAATTATTCATGTTATTCATAAAAAAAAATATTATATGATTTATTTCTCTCTTCTCTAACTTAGTTCAGACAAGACGAACTTTCTAATAAATTGATCAAGCGCTATTTTATTTTATTTTATTTTGAATTTTACTTTTCGAAATATTTTTCTAAATAGAGAAAAAATTGGTTAAAAAAAATACAGTAACTATGCAAAATCCAATTTAAAATTATAATTCAAATTCTAATTTGTCATTTTTGTTTTAATAGTGTGATTAGAGAAAGCTAAATTGTATTTTTTTTAATATTTTAGTTTTTATTTTTTTCGTGAATATTTTTGCAGCAAATATTAAAAAAAAAAAAATTTTGGTAAAAAAGTGCAACAAAAAAAAGCTATTTCTTTATAAGAGTGAGAAAATCTGAATTTCAATTTTTAAAAAGCTTTACGACTTTAGTTCATTTATGTAAAATTTTCAATTATTTTGCAAAATACAAATCATAATAAAAAATAATTGATGAAAAATTCTAATTTTTTTCGTTTAATAGTAGCGTTTGAAAAATAAATCCCAATTTTCAGAGTGATGAAAAAATCCAAATTTGAATTTCAGTTTTCAAAAACAAAAAATCCGGATTGAATTTAGGCAAATGGAGTCATTTCGCAGAATGCAACTCAAAATAAACGAGACTCAGTATTTTTTTTTTGGTTGAAATAAAAAAAACTGTATAGTAATATTTACAGTGTAAACAATTAAAAAGAACTCCTAAATTTCACGACTTATTATTATTATATCAGATAAACAAGTAATATATTTCAAAATAATTTATTTCTTTTTCAAAAAAAAAAGAGAGAAAGTGAAATATTTTCGTTATTATTTACGAGCGTAACAGTGCGTCTTCAGCCAGAAAGAACTCTTGAACTTGACCGGATTGAATAATGGGTACCACTTAGGGTTAAGTATTAAGCGATAAACTGCTCGCGCAAAATTTGAAAGGAAAAGTAAATATTACACACACAATATGTTTATAATGATCCAGGAAAAAAAAATTTCACGTTTTCTTTCCTTCTTTTTAAAAATTATATAATTCATTCCTATTACGGATATATTCAATATAAACATTCATTAAGCAAAAATTTATTTGATTCGAATAAGCGATCAATCTATTATCAAATAAATATTTACTTGAATCAAATAATTTTTACTTCAGTCAATTCTAAAGGGTATTTGCTGTAAATGCTCAAATTATTCATTCAAATGCAATTTATTTGACTTGAATGAAATTTATTTGATTTAAGTAAATATTTATTTGGTTCGTGTAAATATTCATTAGACTCAAGTAAACATTTATTTGATTCAAGTTAATATTTATTTGGTTCAAGTAAATATTTCTTTTCATCAAATAAATATTTATTTGGTTAAAGTAAAAATTTATTTTCATCAAGTAAATATTTATTCGACTAAACGAAACATCTCTTTGATTCAAGTAAATATTTATTTGATTTAAGTAAATATTTTTTGTTTCAAGCAAATATTTATTTGATTTTCATCAAGTAAATATTTATTTTACTAATGTAAACATCTCTTTGATTCAAGTAAATATAAATTTCGTTGAAGTAAATATTTATTTGGTTCAAGTAAATATTAATTTGACTCAAATAAATATTTATTTGATTGAAGTAAATATTAATTTGACTCTAGTAAATATTTATTTGATTCAAGTAAATATTTATTTGAATCAAGTAAATATTTGATTCAAGTAAGTATTTATTTAATTGAAGTAAATGTTTTTTTGGTTCAAGTAAATATTTATTAGATTCGATCAAATATTTATTTTCAACAAATAAATATTTATTCGGTTCAAGTAAATATTCATTTGACACAAGTTAACATCTCTTTGATTCAAGTAAATATTTATTTAGTTCAAGGAAATATTTGTTTGGTTTAAGTACATATTCATTTGACTCAAGTAAACATTTGTTTGATTCAAGTAAATATTTATTTGGTTGAAGTAACTATTTATGAGTCAAGTAAATATTTATTTGGTTCAAGTAAATATTAATTTGATTCAAGTAAATATTTATTTGATTCAAGTAAATATTAATTTGAGTCAAGTAAATATTAATTTGAGTCAAGTAAATATTTATTTGATTGAAGTAAATATTAATTTGACTCAAGTAAATATTTATTTGAATCAAGTAAATATTTATTTAAATCAAATATATATTTATTTGAATCAAGTAAATATTAATTTGATAATAGAAAAATAACCGATTTATTTGAATAAAAAAAAACTTTCTTTCACTATTGAAAATTGAATTAGTCGAAGATTAATTGAATGGAAATTTGAAGAAGAAAAAGAAAATTAACATGTTACCGTACATAAATGTTTAATGAATGGAAGCCTAGCGAAGGACGTTCGTATAGTACTAGAAATAAATAGAGGAGGAAAAGTAGACAGGGAAAGATGTTTAAGGAGTGGGGAATATTGCCGACCTTGATAAGAATGTAAGTAAACTCGTCTACGTTACTAAAGGTAGGTTAAAAGGTTCTCGAAAACTTGTCCTCGTTAATGATGACATCGAATATGGAACTTCTATTTTGTTGCTGATAAAAGTTGGCAAAGTATTTTTTTTTCCTGCTCGATTAAAATTTAGAGAAAAAACTGAATACAATTGAAAAATCAGATAATTAATCCCACTTACAAAAGAACTAAATAAAAACAGTTTATTGTTTAATTTAAAATTTAAATTAAACTATTTTTTATTTTTTTTATCATAATGTTTTAATGATAAAATAGTTTTTGAGTTTAATCTCTCCACTTGAGAACGCCAAGAGAGTCACCAGATGGCGTAGAAACTGGTTTTTTGTCAATTGATCTGCCATCTAACGATGACCTTGGCGTTCTCAGGTGGAGAATAGAATCTCCATTTTTTGATTCTCAAATTGTTTGTCAATATTCGTAATTCTATAATTATTTATTAATCGAGATAATTATTTGTTTAGA